GAGGAAACTGAGGCCCAGGAAAGAAAGAGGGTTCTCACCCTCTTGAGAGCCCACCAAAGCTAGGGCCAAATCTTGTATGTCTGGTCTTAGGCCAGCCCCCTTTATAAAAGGTCACAGTGCAGCGGGAAGGGAGGGAGAGGGGGAATGTCTAAGATGCTTTGCAACTCTAACTGTCCAGACAGGGATGAAGATATTCTAAGTAGAGATAGGTGTGTCCCTCCCTCCAGCTACCAAACCACTGAGACAATGAATCTCCAAAGAACTCGAATTTCCCCAAGAGTGTCCGGCTGGGCTGGAGTCTGGGGGCAGCCAAAGGTGAAGCTTGTCTCCGCCTAAGAGATTTCACAGGGTCTTATAACTTGCCAGGCTGTTTGAGGTCTGGAGTGGAGGCAGTGGTGAGGGGCATGGGTGGGACACTTTGTCCATACTGCTTAGCTCTGTGTACCTCTGTTTCAGCCTAAGCCTCGTGCCATGACTCTAAAGTTGGAAAAAGGAGTCACTGCTCCTCCGTTTTTTAAATTGCCGATGAGGACGGGTGGCTGAGCCCACCTTGTTAGGGCTGGCAGTGTCCAGGCTCTGTCCATAATTCTGGTAACATCCAGTCTGTATATGACTTCTTCTAGACCTGACAACTCTCACAGCTGTGCCTGAAGCCATACAGGGACAGCACCTCCCAAGGGTGTCCTTGGAGCTCCCCACCCCCTAGGTCCCCTTTCCTTTCCAAGCTGGTCTCCACCCTGACTGCCCTTGAAGTTCCGGTTCCTCACCTGTGGGTCTCAACCATTGGAAAACGTTTTCCAGCGGTCTTAGGAACCGAGACACCACACAGTAGCAATTCTACAGTTCTGAAGTAGCAACAAAAATAAATTCATAGTCGAGGATTTCTAAGAGCATCGGAAATGTGTGTTTTCCGGTGATCGAGAACCACAGGTTGAGAACCAGTGCCAGAAAGCATTGTGGGGTCCAGAGCTGACTGATCTCCTGATAGCAGAGGCTGCTTAATCCCCTCCTTCCATTCTCCCACTCCTAGTGCATGGCTCTGCCCTCTTCCACAGAACTTCAGCTATCTTGGTTTGCTTCCTACTGCCATGCTAAACACTGCAGCCAGAAAGCAACGTGGGAAGGAAAGGGTCCATTTTAGCTTACAGTTCATAGGTTCATAGTCTATCATGGAGGGAAGTCAGAGCAGGAACTCAAAGCAGGATGCTGGAGGCAGGAACTGAAGCAGAGACCATAGAGGGGTGCTGCTGACTGGCTTGCTCTCCCTGACTTGCTTAGCTTGCATCTTTCATGCAACCCAGGACAAACTGCTCAAGGGTGGCACCATCCACAGTAGTCTGCGCTGCCCACACCAATTATTAATCAAGAAAATGCCTACAGGCCAATCTGATGGCAGAAGCTCCTCAACTGATGTTCCCTCTTCATAGATGACTCTAGTGTGTGCCAAGTTGGCACAAACCTAATCAGCATACCAGCTCATCTGAACCCACACATTTGTGCACCATGCCCTGACCTCACAGTCCCAGTATCCATGAGAGATGCTCTGGAATTGTCTCAGGGATCAGAAGGCTGGATCCTGAGACAACTGATGGGAAGGGATAGGAAAGTATATGTCTACGTGGAGAAAGAGCACACATGTGGGACTGCATCCCCTGTACATGCCTCTGATGTGTGCATCTCTGTATGCTGTATGTGCTGTATGCCTATAAGTGTCTGTGGGTCTGGATCTGTTTTGTGCATATGTGTGCATGCCTATATATGCTTGCACAGTCATGCATGTGAGTCTGTATGTGCATCTTTATGCAGGCAAATGTCTATTTGTGCACATTTTTGTGTGGGGGCATGTGTGATATTGTCTGGGTGTGCATTATCTGTGGGGTGTGTACACATATGCACACTCATACATTTGGTTCCATGCCTTATCAATGTTGTTATAAATGGACCATGCTGTGTTCTGAACTGTCAGAAACTGAGAACTACTACAATATTCCTTTAAAGAAAAGAAAAGGCAAAAATGAATCCACCTGCAATCTCAGCACTTGAGAGATAGAGGCAAGAAAATTACAAGTTCAAGGCCAGACTTTGCTACATAGCAATTTCAAGGTTGGCCTTGACTACATGAGATGATGGATGGATGGATGGATGGATGGATGGATGGATGGATAGATGAAATGCAGTAAGAAAACAGTGTTTGGTTCCACAGTCCCTACAGGAAGGGTATGGAGGCCTTCCCCTGCATGAGTGGCCTCAGGGCTAGAGGGTAGGTAGGTACCAAGAGCCCTAGCCCTAACCCTAACCAATGGTATCAGTTCCTCCTTTCTCATGGGGCTTGGCCCAAAGGATGCAGGAGAGGCACTGGGGTCCCTTCCATGCCTGGAATGTATCAGAATCCTAGCACCATGTCCACTAAGGGGATGAGGAATAGAAGGGTAGGCTGGCAAGGCTCAGCAATGCAGGAAGGATCTCCACCTACTGCACTCCCTGCCCCCCAGCAGTGGCCTCTGACCATCCCCTGCTCCCAATGCAGCGTTCCTGCACCCCAAGGCAGTCTCAGACTTCAGGGACTCGAGCTCATCACATTCCTGTGCTTCTGGGTGACAAGGATGTCTTCTTGACCTCCTTCATCCCAAGCCCAAGAGCCCTGGTCCCTCTATGGGAAGTCAGTCTGACTACCTACCTGTCACACCTGTATGACCTCAGGTATGCCCATTGCTCACCAGATCTAGTCTCTCCCAGAGGGTCTTGAGCTATGAAGGGCCTAGAGGGAAGGCTCACGGCCCAGCTCTGCCACTTATCCCAGGGTCATGACTCTGCGCAAGTGCCTCACCCTCTGTGAACCTCAGTCTTTTCATCTGTGGAATGGGCAGGAGGATTGGTACACCTGTTTGATTGAGGAAACACATTCCTGTGCCTGCTGATTCAGGCTCCAGCCCTCATTTGACCATTTGTTCTCACTCCGAGAAGACAAGGTAACTTCACAGAGCTTTGGTTTCCTGGTGTGTCCCTCAGGATATGGGACATGACACCTGGCAGGCAATAGGAATACAGGCACACTCTGTCCCCACCAGATAGGCTCAGCCTCTCCAACTGTGTCCCTTGTAGATAAGAGGAGGTCAGGGAGCAGTTTGGGAGCCTGGGGTCTCTGAAACCCTTTTCAGGGACTGTGAGATCAGAACTATTTCACAGTGCTGTTAAGCCACTATTAGTCTTTTGGTTTGTTTTTTTTCCCCAAGGATACAGTTCCTTTCAAGGACTTGTCACAGGAGAAGGAGTGGCAGACAACAGCAGAGGCCAGAGGCTTTAAGTCATGCCAAACAATGCTACCTAATGCTTCCTTTAGAAAATGCCATTCATTTCCACACTCAATGTGTAAATTTAGTATTGTTTTATGAGTAAATTTATATTTTTGAAGTGTTCTTGGTTTTAAATTCTGTATAAAAATAAAAAAATATTAACAGAGGGAGCCATTATAGGTCCTAGGAGACATCTGGCACCAGGGAGATTTCCAGAGATCTACAAGGATGACACGAACTGACAATCTAGGCAATGGTGGAGAGGCTACCCTAAATGCCCTTCCCCTATAATGAGACTGATGACTACTTTATATGCCATCCTAGAGCCCTCATCCAGTGGCTGATGGAAGCAGAGGCAGACACCCACAGCTAAACACTGAACTGAACTCTGGAACCCAGTTGCAGAGAGGGAGGAATGAAGATCAAAGGGGTCAGGACCAGGCTGGTGAAACCCACAGAAACAGCTGGCTGAGCAAGGGGGAGAACATGGACCCCAGACTGCTGCCTGGGAGGCCAGCACGAGACTGATCCAGACCCCTGAACATGGATGTCAATGAGAGGCCTCTGCCTTCTATGGGGCCCCTGGTAGTGGATCAGTATTTTTCCCTGATGTAAGAGGGGACTTTGAGAGCCCATCCCATGTGAAGGGATGCTCTGTCGGCCTGGACACATGGGGGAGGGCCTAGGCCCGGCCCAGGATGATGTGGTAGACTTTGGGGAGCCCCCATTGAGGGCCCCATCCTACCTGGGGAGTGGACAGTAGATAGGGTGAGGGATAGATGAGGGGTTGGGGGAGGGGAGAGAGAGGGAGAAGGGATTGACATGTGAAGCAAGCTTGTTCCTAATTTGAACTAATAAAAAAAATAAAACCATAAGGAGTCTATACAAAAGCTCCATGGGGTCCTATCTTGCTGAAGAGTGCCAAGGAGTTTCAATACCCACAAGTGTGCCAAGGCTGCCATGCTTGCTCAGGTCAGCTGACTGAGACTCTTCTCGGGACTTTGGAGAGCTCTGTGGAGTAGGGATCTGAGTCCCATGAAGGTTCTGGATCACCAAGAAGCCCTCCATGCCCGCAGTGCTCTGTATGCCCTGGTAGGAACCACCCAAAATTCCTGAGTTCCAATGAGCTCACTCGGAACCCCTAGGCAGCCATGAGCTTCAGGGGTCTCAACTGATGGCACCCAGTCACTTTGCCTGACAGTTTCTGCTCATGCCTCGAAGAAGCCACAGCCCACCAGGACTGCCCGTCCCCCATCCTGTGGTTTCAGAAGGCCCTGAAGGCATTTGTGTAGCCCAGATATAGAGTTCTCAGTTCAAGCAGGCTCTCTCAGAGTCAGTGAGGATTTGTGTAGGCTGGCTTAGAGCATGGGGGAAGAGGGTAGGTAGGTGAAAGCCTGGAGTGGCCTCACACCTGGACAAAGTTGCTGATAACCACAAGATGGAGACAAATTCCTATTTTTGTCATTTGAGCTCCTGGACCCCGCCTCTGCCACTCAGGCCAATCAATGCACTCCTTGTTTTACTCTTTGAACTTCATTTTCAGCTAGGAGTCCCTATGAGTATCATGATGAACAGGATGAGTGCTGGGGCCATCGCTTGGGCTCCCAGAAGCATCATTGAAGACCCTCATCTCTGATGCTCAGGCAAAACCCCTCTTGCCCTGTGAAGACCCAGCTGAGCCCAAACACAGCTAGATGACAGCCTGGGTATTGTGTTTCACTTTATCATTTATAAAGCCATACAATGGATTGTAAGAGACTAAGCAGCTGTACAGAGGGGGGGTAGCATCAGTGTACATACATTCATATCCAGAACACTTAGCGTACAACAGGATTTATACAAGGTGGCAGAGGCTATAGGCACAATGATACAAAATATAAAGTATATTTCCATCTATAAATACACAGCAGAGGGCTGGGAGGGGCTGGGGGCGCAGGGGACTGGGAGGCAGGGGATGGACTCTGGATCTCCCAGCAGAAGGCCTGGGAGGCAGGGTTGGAATAACCAAGAACATGAGGAACTTCTTACATTTGTTTTGAATGAGAAAGTGGGGAGATACTGCATGCACACCCCAACGTGCTCACACACATACGAGCCAAATGTGGGTTGCACAGGGAGGGCTGGGCTGTGAACACTGGCGTCTTGAACTTCAGTGGCCATGCTGATGTGAGGGGACCCGGCATGGAAACTAACTGAGACCCTCCAGCTTCTCAGCCATTTGAGGAAACAGGAGACAAGGAAGAGACCTGCTGAGTCTTATCCTATGTGGCTGTCCCTCCATCACCAGCACTAAAACACTAATAATCTGTGGCCCATCAGGCCTCACCTCCTGGTTCTTCTAACTACTGGGTCACACTGAACTCAACATCCCTCCATCTCCCAGCTCGAAGTTCCCTAAAGAGAGCAAACCATGCACCCACACACACACTTACACACCCACACCCACATACACACATACATCCTGTCACCAATGACCACGGAAACACCAGTCTCGAGATCTTCTGCCACGGCCTAAGTGCAGGGGTGGCCCTAGCTTTGGATCCAAGCTCTTCAAGGACCCAAGGCATGGAGGCAAGAGAGGACTGGTTCCCTTGGATGGATCTCCCCAAGGTCTGAAGCTGGGAAAGGGGGATCAGAAATCTTGGAAGGTAGGATGGAGAAAACCCAGAGCAGGGCGGATGCTGTATACTCACACTCCCTGACAGCAGGAGCCTGGTTCATTTCTATTCAGACCTAGTGCAAGGTCTCTCTCTCTCTCCTGAAAGCCCCTTTCTAGAGGGACACATAGGGCTGTCCTCTTTACACCCCTAGATAGATATCTCCAGGGACTCCCCAAAGCCAGGGTGTACCGGAAATCCTGGCAATCATGTTTGAAGCCATCTAAGCTGCTGGCGATAGGCTATGAAAGGGACCCAAATGGCCTTCCCAAACCTAAGATGTGAATTCGTTCCTCAGACATGGCTGAACAAGAGACAGGGGTCCACAGTAGCACAATAGTGACTTCAATATCCAATTGCTAATTTTTCCCAGCTTTCCCTTTGAGGCCATCTGTCCAATGTATTCTAGCCCAGAAGTATGCGGGCCTTCCCTTCCCCCAAACCTGGTTCAATCAATGTGCCTCTCTGATATCTCACCTCCAGATATCTGGGAGGATAAGGCCCCAGGCCAATCTCAGCAATCTTCTGAGTTGCCAGAGGCAGTATTGACCTGGGCTGTAGCTGAGGGGTCTTGTTGATGGCATCACAGGTGGCCATGTTCTCTTGTTTTCCTTAGCCCTCTTTTACTCACATTTAGGAGCAGACAGCACTCTCTCTGCTGACATACAGTCTCAACAATATAGAACAGCAAAACAGACCACTCACAAAAAAAAAAAAAAAAAAAAACAATGGGTAAAAAAGTGCTCTTTTGTGAAGGAAATCTTTGGCAAGAATAGGTTGTATTTGGAGTGGTGAGAGGGTATGTGGTCTGTGTGTTTGTGTATGTGTGTGTGTTTGTGTGCGTGCATGAATGTGCAGAGCCCCATCTGTGAGAATCACAGTGGGAAAAAGGGCAGACTACAGTGTGGTTCCCAGTGTAAGAACTGAGGCCCCTTCTCCAACGCTCTTCCAGGAAAGCCAAACTCAGGTGTCCATTCCTTCTAGAGGCATGCTGGGAAGGAGGCACCCACTTTCCCAGCATCCACCTTGGTCCTCCACATGGCTCACTCACACTTGGCTTGGGCCTGAGTGCAGCATGAGAAGGTGAAACCATATACAAAAGTTGTTGGCCCCAGACTGGGGCGGGGCCCAAGGCAGGGTACAGAGGCTCTGACATTCCTCAAAGGCTCGAGTGAACTTTGCAGCCAGGAGAAGCCGTGGCCCCAGGCTGTGCAGCAGGATAAGGGTATTTACAAAGAAAGGGATGAGGAATTTCTTCTTCTAGCTTGGGAAGAAGTGGGGTTCACTGGGGAATGAGGAAAGGGTTAATCGAGACATTCACCTTGAGTATCTCATAGGGAAGGACACTTTAGAAGGACCTTGATCACTAAGCCCTATTATTCTTTGGGAAGAGGGGCCCATAGGGGCCTCTGCTCACGATCCCCACCTAACCTAGACATTCTTCTTTCTAGTTCCTCAAAACGATATCCATACAGTCAAAGCTCCCTGGAAGAGGAAAAAAATCCAAGAGATGCACACACCAAGGCCACACACACCTGCATCCCCAAACACACGCTGGCTCAGACCTGTGGCGATGGAAGCAGCTGTCCACACACCCAAGATGCTGGCAGCTGGGCTACCGCTTGCCAGAGAATAAAGAGCTAAAGCATGTCATCCCCAAGTCCTAGGTGTAGCCTAGAGAGGCCAAGACCAGGGTCAAGGCCAAGGCCAGCCCTGGGCTATTTGAAATATAAAGACCCCCTGCAATTCAGGCTCTGCTTACACATTAGAAAAGAAATGGAAACAGTTTGTGGCCAGGGACAATAAAGCAATATGGGGAAACAATAAATATTTCTTGTCAATTTACCTATTCTTTTTTAACCTTTTCTTATATTTTTATTAGCTTACAGATTCTATCAGTATGTCTCATGTATATATTATATATATTTATATATCAATACAATGCCACCCCTAGGGACTCCCATGGGCTTCAGTGGAAGCCTGAGTGGTGACAGGGGCCTTCCCAACACCATAAATGGATCATAGGACCTTTGGCCTAAATTCATACCTTCTGTCCTCTGTCCCATAGAAAGCATGGTTCTGCTGGGGAAACTGAGGCAGAAGGGGAACAGGGAAGCTTTGGCATTGTAGGAGGACCATGTGGTTCTCCAGCAGCATCCCCAGAGGTGCTATGATGTCACCCTGGACAGCCCAGCCAGAAGGGTGTCTGCAACAGTCAGACCCCAAAACACAGAGGGGGAAGGGGGGGATCCAGACCTCCCCGGGTGCCCTGGATAGGACTTTGGGAAGCAGGCTCCTGGGATAAGCCAACCATATGGGACAGGGTAGGTCAGAAAGGCACAGCTCCCATCCACCAGTAGGCCTCAAGCAGGTGAGCAAGTACAAAGCAGGCACTCCTGGCCAGGATTGGGCTGAGAAGGGTGTAAGGCAGAGTCCTGGACACTGTCAGTGCACGCGCCCAACTCACCGCGAACCACAGGAAAGATAGCACCCTTCCTCACGGGGATCTTTCCCAAGACTGTGGGCGTTGCCTCTTCCTCCAGCCTAGCTTCAGTCTCAAAGAGACAGAACAGGCTAATGCTGCAGGATGGCTACGCCCTCTGTACCAGGGTCTCTACAGGGGACAAGCTGGAGGTCCCCAGGGCCACTAGAGGGCAGTTGTAGAAACAGAGAGATATCTGTTACCCATAATGCTATGCTCCTGCAGGAGACAGCTTGTCTCTGACCTGGCACCCTGCCACCCATATACCTAGCCTTCTTTGGTCAGTGTGTATATGTGTATCACAAGGACACAGACAAGCAGAGCTGTTTGTAATTCGAGTGGATAGAGGCAGGTATTGATGAGTGCATGGGGGCACATAAGAAGTCAGAGCAAGCACAGACCTCGGGGTGGGGGTGGGGGGCCTCAGGTAAGCCAAAGGTAACAAAGTGTCACCGCTTGATGTCACACGCTGGCTGCTGGGTTTGGCAGCCAATACCTCCAGAGAAGCAGTCTCAGCTAGGTTTCTTCTCTCAAAGCAGGAGGGTTAGGGAGAACAAGCTTTTTCATTGCTCCTTGAAATCTGGTCCCCCAGAGAGGCCTGTGGGGGAGGGGAGCCAGGTCCCCCAGCTAGTAGGAGAGGCTTTGGGAGGTGTGGCTTCCATCTGTACAGGGGATTCTGAGTTCCTCTCTCCCTCCTTTATTCTCTTCAGCCCTCGCCCCTCCCCTCCCCTCCCCAATTCACTTCCCTCTCCCACCATTGCACTTTCTTCTCTCCTTCTCCACAGTCAACCCAAAGTCCTCTTTCTGGATTCAAGGTGGTCAGGATTCGAAGATCCCCCTTCCCACACACCCCATCCCCAGTGCCCTGGCCTTGGGCAAAGACTCCAGGATTCATCTCTTCTGGCCAGCACTCAGCATGACCTTGGAGACGAAGTTAACAATGGCTGAAGCAGGCTGGTTGGGGTCAAGCTCTGCAAAGAGGTGGCAAGCGTTGTCCGTGGTGCTTCCCTGCTTCCGGGCCACAAAGCCAAAGAGCCTGTAGTGGATAGAAGAGGGTGCCTATGTAAGGACCCCAGGTCTGGAGGGCAACCTAGGCAGGAAAGCGTGCCTCAGTCCAGCCTGGTTTCCCCAGCCCCCACACCTCTCCAAGCATCTAGAACTGGGGCTAGCTCTTAAAGCCAAGTTCTGGGGACAGTGCTTTGCTTTGTTTCAGGGCAGGTGACATTCCCCTGGGGAGTGGGGGTGGGAGATGAGCTGGGTATGAGTGACAAGACTGGTTAGAAAGGGTGCAGGGGGTTGAGACAGGAGGAAGAATTCAAGCCAAGCTTCTCTGGGTTCTTTCTCAGCCCCACCCCTATCTGGGGTTTCTTGCAAAACACGCCTCCTAGGTGGTCAGAAACAAACATAAGCAGGTCTTCCACCACCTCCCCCCTTCTGGAAGCTGGGAAGCCCTGAAAATAGGAGGGGCAAGGAACCCCACACCTGTCTCCTGCCCCCTCCAACACCAATGGGAGTGATCCAGCATTCTCTCTCTTTCTCTCTCTCTCTGCAAAGCAGAGTTAAAAATATGAGCGCAGAGAACAGAATGTGAGCTCAGGGCCCCTCCCAGCCGGCATGTTGCTAATTAGAGTGAGATGGGGAAATCAGGACAGCTGGAAATGCCAATGGAAACCCCTCAGCCGGGTATGCATGGCACACACAGCTAAAATTAGCCAGGCTGGCTTCTGCCTGCCTGTGTGTGTCTGTGCACGCACACACAAACACGCTCTGTTCACACCTACACACCTACGCATATAGACACACAGTAAATGGGTATTAACAGGGCACACACATGCATATGATGAGGATACACACACACACACACACAGAGAGAGAGAGAGAGAGAGAGAGAGAGAGAGAGAGAGAGAGAGAGAGAGAGAGAGAGCCTGTACTTCAAACAGCTTCACACTCTCAGCTCTGTTGTGGGACCCGAAGGACCTGAAGGCCTGCACTGAAGGCCAGGAAATGAGTCAGGGCACTTCCCTCTCCAGGCTGACTGTGACTGTGGCATGGTAAAGGGTATCTGAGTGCCCAGAATAGAAGCACACAGGCCTATCTTTCTACCTGTGTCTGCTAGGACAGAGACAGAGCCGATTGTGCCTGATCTGAGCATTGCTATCTGACCCACTGGAAAACTCCAGCCTGTCTGACTGTCCAGCCCCTCTGGAGTCCACCTCCCCCCCCCACCAACCCCCCGGGATAAGGATTAGATTCCTAGCCAGTTTTCTCCATTCCCAAGCAAGGTGCTTTCTCTCTGGCCCGGTCCAAGCACTTCTGGCCTCCATTTCTTCATTCCACAAATGTCAGCAACTGACAGACCCACCTTGTCATCAGAAGCCTGCAGCCTGAGAGTCATCCAACCCCTTTCTCTAAAGTAGCCTCTCCTACCCCTAAACCCATTTCACACCCATCACTTAAGACCATTTTAAAGTATTGTTTCTTCCCACAAATCCTTCCAACTCCATGCCTAGACACTTGTCTCTGTTAGCATCAAGATGTGGGCTATATTCTCTTTCACCTAATCTAGGAGACCATGGCATGCAGGCCCTCATCAGACCCCTGGCCTAGAGCCTGTCCCTGTGCCCGATTTCCCCCACAGAGTACAAAGGACAACCAGTGCAGGAGAAGCCACACTTACTTAGCAGGGGCGCCTCCCTCTGTCTTCATCCACCTGTGGGAAAAATGCCCATAAGTCAATGTGTCTGTCTTAGGAGGCCTGCCACGGGAAGGCAGGGGAGCCCCCATTCCAGGAGACACATCCCCAAGATCAAATGGAGAGGACACTGAGGCCCACCTCCCGTGTAGAGAGGAGACACAGCAGAGCATGTAGAGGTGAACAGTGAAGCCTGGGCAAAGTCAGCAGGTCTGGGGAGGAGACTCAAGTGGTTGCCAACATAACCGCTCTCCCTGCTCAGGACACAACAAAGCTGTGGCTGAGGCACACACAGCAAACACATACTTCAGGGGATAGAGCAAAGGTCCTATCAGACACTTACTTTCTTTCTTGTGGATCCAGGTCACAGAAGGTGACGGTATTGAGGGGGTAGTGTCGTCTGAAGAAGAGCCTGCAGCAGAGATATCAGAGTGCCATCGTGAGTGAGGGAATAACTGCCCTTTCACACCTGCAGGGCAGGCCACATTCCCATCACTGTGCCTATCATGGGTTCATACAGCCTCTCCATATGAATAGGATGGCCTGAGATCCTCATACCGGGACTTATATCCCAGGTATAGGCACACAGGGACAGGCATGTGTGCTGTAGAAACATACCCCACCATGCTAGGGGCTGGCGAGGGAACTGGCACTGAGAAATGATAAATGGGGAAAACTGGAGGAGGAAGGGAATGAGCTGAGAACATAGAAAGCCTCTACTCTTAAAATCAAAGACTTCCTTCAGCTGTATTCTATCTGCTCAAGCATGCACACACGTGTGGCTGGTTTGCTAAGTGAACAGATGCATACATGGATGGAGGCAAGAGAGGGTAAGTTGGTGGATGGGTGATGGGTTCATGAATGGGTGGGTGGACGGGTCGGTGGATGATTGGTTGGGTAGGTAGATGGATGAATGGACAAATGAGTGTGTGTGGGGGGAAAGGATGGATGTATGGGTACATAGGCAGGCAATGGGTACAGGGATGGTCAGAGCTTGAGTAAGTGGATAAATGGGGGATGAGAGGAAGAAGTAGGTAGACAGGCTTACTTTCTCTGATTGTCAGTCAGTGTGATGCCTTGGGCAGAGACCTTGAAGTGAACAATGGTGGCAGCTGGTGTGGGGTCAGCAGCCAAAGTCTCAGAAGTGGCTTTGGAAATGGCCTGTGGCCCGGTGAGTGACTCCATATCCACAGAATTGACGAAGAGCACATTGCAAGCTGGAAGAAACAGAGCCAAAGAGGAGTCACGGGGGCTAGAGTAGGTGCCCGACAATCCCTCGGTTCCACTGTGCAGAGGCAGGTGCAGACAAATTTCAGGCAAGCCTTGAACCAAAGCCACTGCATCAGAAATGGAATCTGGGAGAAAATTCCACCCTGCACCTGCAGGAGGGGACGGGGCAGGAAAGACAGGCCTGGGCATTTGTCCCAACTCAGGTGACACTCACCTGCTCCTTGCTTCAGCAGGTCGGTGGTTGAGTTGGCAGGGCCTGAGCTATCTTTTGATTCATCTGTGGGGTCTGAGACAAAAATTCAATTAGTAATTAAAACCCTGCAGTAATTAAAACGAGTCTGGCTAGGCCTAAGGCAAGCATATGCTTCCTGCAATGGATACTCTTCACAGTGGGTCTTGGCAGTCAGCACTGCCTATATAAGATGATCCTAAGGCCCCAGCATGCTGCTGGGAGGTGCTACAGTCCAGCAGGGCTGGGCTCAAATCCCTACTGCTCTAGCTGCTACGTGTCTATGAACTGATAATGGTGATACCCATGTCCCTGGGTCTCTGAAACTCAGCATGTGACAAACAGCAAGGCTGTGACAAGGAGCAATGGGACTACTGGCACTTTGCACCAGTGTGTCTTTGTACAAACCAATGTGCGAGTGAATTCACTGACGCTCAACACGGCACAAACTATGATTCTGAAATGACTTAGAATCAACTCACAGATGTATTGAGCAGCTTGATTTTACCAGCCTATGATATGCACCTACAACAACACACATGACCTTATATGTCACATGAAACACACGCTTTATTTCAATTATACTTAAAACAAGAAACTTTAAAAATATGTCCAAAATAGGAATGTGGTGTGTGCCTGTAATCCCAGCACTGCAGAAGCTGAGACAGGAGAATTGTGAATTTAAGGACAGTCTAGTCTACATAGCCAAAAAAGAAAAAAAGAAACAACAACAACAACAACAACAAAAAAACCCAAAACACAGAACCTATAAAAAGAATATCAGAAAAAAAGAAAAAGAGGAGGAAAAGAAGAACTGAGTGATGTTTGTATTGGTACTTCTAAACTTTGGTATACAGCTGTGTTAGGATACATGACTGCTGGCCCTGGTCCACAGGTGTGCTGCATTGCTTTGCTGGCACAGCGGCTTGCACCTTGGGTATCACACATACGGGGAGGGGGAGGGGGCGTGCTCTACCACGGGGCTATATCTCCATTGCTCTTCTTGCCTTTTTAGTCTGAGATCTTTGTGTTGCCCAATGGGACCTCAACTCACTCTGCAGCCAGAGAAGGTCTTGAACCTGTGACCCACCTGGTTCAGCTTCCTGCATTGCTAAGGCCAGAGGTCTGCAGGCAGCCCCATGCCTGGCTCTCACCCAGAGTTTCTGACAAATTTGAAAATACCTGGATTTTAGCAAGTTCCCAGGATGGCTGCAGAAACTCCAAGCATTGTGCTCTGAGAGCTGCCCATTTATATGATTTAAATATCAAACGATTTTGTAAATTCCATACAGATATAATTGAATTAGTGTCTAAATTATGCGGTTACTAATGTTACTGAAGTTGCATTTGAACCTTTAAGCTAATAATGTTGGTCAATGGTTATTAATAATTCAATGTATCAAACAGCCAGCTGACACGAGAAGTCCTCTCATGTACCAGGATATAATCCTCCTGTAACTGTCCCCATTCTGAGAATAAGGCCTCTTCTGGGAATTCAGTGTGAATTTTTAAAAAAAAAAAACACCAGAGTATTTTCTAAAACAATCAGGCAATTAATGAGTATCCTTGGAGTTAAGCTTTTTAATGAATAACTTCCCTTTTTAACAATTAGAAGATGGCATTGCCTCCCTCTTGGCTCCATTCTGGGCAGACAGTATGAGGCAGCATCTCTTACCTCGGCTTGGAATGACCAGTTTGCAGGGCAGGGCCAGTGGGATGACGGAGTGCTGATAGACCAGGGCAGACAGGGAGCCTGTGAGGAGAGACAGCACACCAAGAAGAGTGACTAAGACATACTGGAAAGGGGACACAAGGAACCCCACCCCATCCAACTCCACACCTTTCCAGTATCTGTCACTTATGTTTTCCTTTCTACAGTGTTAGAGCTCAAATCCATGGCCTGAGTTGCACGCACCCCAGCCTCCAGCTTCTTCTTCATCACCACCCCACCAACAGAATTGAAAACTTGCCCCCCTTTACACTGGGAATTCCAAGGGACCTAACTACTTTCCTTGGCCACCATGTCCCCTAAGTCCTTCCAGTTAGAGCCCCCATCAGAAGAGTGCAGTAGGAGAACTGTGGCATAAAATCCCAGCTCTGTTGCTTATGTAGAGAACCTAAGTAGCACTTACACATTCTTCATGTGCAAAATGAGGAGAGTGACAGCTACTGTGCAGAACTGCTATGACACCAGAATAACGTGACTTTCACATAATAGGTAGACAAGAAGGACAGACGTTCTTACTGCTGTTATTTTAATGTGCCGACAGTCAGGCCTCAACTAAGCAAGACAAACACAGAAAGGGACCTGGCAGCATGGAGGAGCCACACTACTCAGTATGTAACTAGGAGGTGTGGCCAGGTCTCAATAAAACTTTATAAAAACAGCAGCTGTTCCTTCCTTCTGCCAAGCCACACACCTAGGAGGACTGGCAGCAGTAATACAGAAAGAACTTGGTTCAGACCCCCTGAGGATCGAGATCATAATGACAAGCCAGGATGCTCACCAAAGTTTGGCTCATTGGGACAGCCCTTGAGCTTGACTCCTCTGGGGCTTGTCTCTATGAGGAAGTGCCTCACCAGTTCATGGGTCATGTCTCCTGGAACAAAGAAGAAACAGTATTGGTCACTCATTGTCATAGCACCGTCCCAACACTGTCTCATGACTTCTGAAGTGTGTAGGATGCTATCTATGGGAGAGGTTACTGAGGCAAGATGGCTGGAGTCCGGTGGAATGAGGATCACCATCCACTCCTCTGTTGCAGAATATTACTTTAATTATGTAAAGATGTACTACATTTGTTTATGTCGCTGAATATTACTTTAACTATATAAAAATGTGTTATATTTGTTTATATTGCAGAATAGTACTTTAACTGTGTAAATGTGTGTTACATTTGTTTATTTTGCATTTGTTTAATTATGTAAAGATGTGTTGCTGTTTTATCCTGCCTGCCTAAGGAACTTTATTGGTCTAATAGAAAACTGAATGGCCAATAGCTAGGCAGTAGAGGGATAGGTGGGGCTGGAGTGCAGAGAGAATAAGTAGGAAGAGGAATCTAGGCTTGAGAGGAGAGAGAAGAGAAAAAAGAGAAGAGAGAACCAGCCAGACACAGAGTAAGATAACAGAAGGAAAGAAAGGTAAAAGGCCTCAAGGCAAAATGTAGACAAAGAGAAAGAGATTAAATTAAGTTAAAAGAGCTAGTGGGACAGGCACAGGCTAAGGCTGAGAATTAATAACTAATATTAAGTCTCTGTGTCTTTACATGAGAGCTGGTTGTTGTCCCAAAAGAAAGCCTGCTACATTCTTCTTCCATCCCTTCATGAAACACACACACCCACATACACACACACACACACACACACACACACACACAAAGTTCTAACAGTCTGCTGTCACAAAACCACCATTCACTCTCCTCTGGCTTCTCAGGGACCATTCCTGGTGAGTTAGGACCCTCTTCAGTACCCACAAGTTTGAAGAAATCAAGAAACCCCAGCCTTGACACTACCTTTCTTGCCCTGCTGAGTGATGGTTGGAGGGGGTGAGGACACCTTCATGGCCAGCCCATAGGCCCCTCGGAATGAGTGGCTGTCACGGATGATGAAGGCCCCTGGCTCCTGATCCTTTAGGAGTGCAATGGCTGAAATGAGAGGTGACAGAAGAGAAGAGCCATCAAGAAACCAGTGGCTTGGCTTGAGTCCCATGGGCCTGGAGGACACGCTCTTCTCTCTTGAGATGACATTTTTCAATGTCCTGGTGTAAGTAAACACTCCAGAGGGCCCTCCTGTACCAAGCAAGACAAATTCTGCAGATGGCCATAAAGAGCCATTGTTGGAGGTCATGCCATCTTCAGCCACTACTCAGCACAGCCCCATGACAGGAAGCAGACAGTGTTTGACTAGCAAGTGTGACTGGTCTGTAACTTTATTTACAAAAAAAAGCAAAACAAAAACAAAAACTTGTTTTTCCAAACTTGTTTTTTTCCCTTGTATAATAATAATAATAATAATGATAATGATGATGATGATGATGATAATTTTTATATCACAGTTTCAGATGCTCTTACTTTGCCTGGAAAAGCCAAAGCTTTGCTAAACCACTCCAAGGCTCTGCTTCTAGACCCCTCTCTCCTAAGCTTTACTTTACATGGGAAGTGCTTTTTTCCTGTCTGACTCTGATTCCAGCCTGCTCTCTGTGACCACCACCTACTGCACTGAGGAATAAATTCTTGCTCAAGGTGGACATGGTGAGCAGGACTCCATGATGTCTTCTGATGGACCACCAAACCAACAATGGTGTCCCCAACTCACCCTGCTCTCTGGAGATCTCAGGCTTGTACCAATACTTGGAAGTGTCCTGGACAAACTTCACTTTAGCTCGTGTCTCAGGACTGTTGTCTAAAGGAGGGAACAAAAGGAAAGTGTTACAGTCGCATTGCATGCTCCTCAAAAGATGTCAACACCCTGACACCCCAAACCTATAAACGTTGCCTTATTGAAAAGAGGGTCCTTGTGGATATAGTCAAATTTCGACAAAGGCATGCCAGACTGGGGTGAGACCTAATCCAATATGACAAGTGTATTTCAAAGTAGGGAAGAGACAGCAGACACATGGGGGCAGTACCAGATGAATATGGAAATGTCTGAAGACGCAGATCACATCATCAGAAGCGTCTGTCCTAGTCTCTGCACAGCAGGATTTTGATCTCTGGCCTCTGCTATGACACAGTCTACTTCTATTATTTTAAGCTAGCAAGTGTGTGCTGGCCACAGGAAATAAATCAGAAAGCTAAATGCTCAAACATCAGAGAACATGGTGGGAGGTTCCCAGTTGCCTTCTCCCTCAGCCTTCCTCCTGCCAGCCATCACTGTTGCCTGGACATTATGCAGCTAAAGTACCTGGTGAGGCATCCACCGAGCTGGTGAAAAACCCTTCCCCACCCCATTCCTTGTGCCTAGATGATTCTGAGTTAATTCCTCCCCACTTCCATCCCGGAGGTTGACATATCCTCCTTGTGCTTTGCCTCCCAAGCTCAGCCTGATACCCATGAACAGGGGACAAGAAGACCTACATCTCTCTCCTGTGGCCCATCCCCTCTCGATTCCCACACTGAAAGTGACATTCTACATCAGTACAGTCAAAAGTCCCTCCCATCCTCCAACATCTAGACCAGGGAGTGGTCAGTACTCTAGTGGCCATCTACAGGGTATCACACATAGCCAGACAATGTCCCTACTCAGTCGCTCTGTAGACCATAGCCTCTTTCTGAGAACACTACATTGTAGAGGGGGATTGGACACCATTGAGCCCAACTGTGGCATTCCCCTGGGACTTGCCATGTTCCTGTCTCCTCCTCCCACTGCAGTGAGTGTTACTGTGTCTGGCTCCTTATCATGATGTCTTTATGCTCCAAGCCTCCAAAGTCCTCAACCTTCGTTCTTCCTAATATACCTAATATTATTTTGAATTACAATCACTGAGTCACGCAGTGGAGTGTCTGAACTTAGCCTTGCTTGCTATGGGCACTCTTTTACCCTTCAGCCCAAAGCAGATAAAAACAAAGGGGCAGGGGTAGGGGCAGGAAGAAGAAAAAGGGGCAATCTGCTTTCACAGATCCCCAGGCCTTTGTGAGAGACTGAAGCAGGGGACACGGTGTTGAAGGTGCTACCAAGTTAGGAGAGAAGGACCCTGCAGTTGCAGCCAAGGGCCTTGGTGCTCATGGGCACCTGGGCTCTGTCTCCTGTGGCCTGAGGAGATGCAGCTCCTTTCCCAGGCTAGGCAGCTAGAGAAAGCATCTGCAGCAGGCGCCTGGCCCTCCTCTGAAGCCCGGCCATGGCTGATCTAAGTAGCTGTCAGAAGCGGCTGTGGTCCTGTGTGCCTTCCTGTGTTGACTCCAAAGGCTATTTTAAGTAGGCAAGATGGTGGGAAACAGGAAGTGTCCTAACTACTAGAAATTTCGCATCCTTCAAGGATCGGGGCTGGGAACCAGATGTCCCTAGTAGGTGGCAGGAAGCAGGGGAGTGTGGGGTCACTCTAAGTGTCCCAGCTTGGAAGAGCCTGGGAAGGACACAGGACTCAGAGAGTCTGGGTGCCTCAGGGCCACCCCAGACTGTTAATAATTTTCTCTATCTTCCTTAGACATAAGTAGATTCAGGGTATCTGCACACAGGGTCAAGGTCTGGTTGAGAAGGTGCAGGTCACCTGAAGCCTTGAACTTTATGTTTAGAGAATAAGCTGTCTCCATGGAAGCAAAGACATCAAAACTAGAGGCTTGGGTGAAGAACTCATCCTGCAGAAAGGAAACTAGGCTCAGCTAAAACATCTCACCCCTAGCCTTTACCCTGGCCCACCTGGCCCACTGTTAACTGGGGCTGACAAAAGTCATAGAGGTGCAGGATAGCAGAGTCTCAAAGTTCAGTTAAGTCACAGTGTCCCTCAAATAATGAATACATACTGAAGACATTCCTATCATGCATGAGTGCATGTGTGCACATACGTGCATGTGTGCGTGCCCATGCCACAGTCTGCATGTGGAGGTCACAGGGCAATTTTGGGTGTCATTCCTTGCCTTTCACCTTGTTTGAGGCAGGAACTCTTGTTCATTGCTGCTGGCTAACTGGCCTATAAGCTTTTGGGCAATCTCCTGTCTCCATTCCTCATTCCACCACAGGAGTAGAAGCATGCACGACTGCATTCAGTTTTACATGGGCTCTCAGGATCCAAACTCTGGTCCTCATGTTTGGACAGTGAGTGCTTCACCCACTGTGCCACCTCCCCTGTCCCAAGAGCATTCATCTGGGGGTAGTTTGGGCCTGGATTAGAAGTTAGCTCTGTCACTGAGTAACCATATAATGCCAGCCAAGCAGCAGAAACTCTGTGAGCCTTAGAGTGTTCCTGTATAAAGCAAAGCTAATGACCTACTTCCCCAGTTCCCCAGGCGGCTCAAGGATTAAATGAGTACTTAGCTCAGGCTACCACACAGCATGTGCCCAACAGGAGGAGAGACGGTGATGGCCATCTGAACAGCATACCATTCATGCTTAGTAGTCCATCCTCTTTGTCTTGCACAAAGCCTTCATCACAGCCACCCCACCCAGCCATATTTTAAAAAGATACAACTCCTGCTACAGGCAATGAACTCAGGCCTAGAAGTCAGTGACCCAACCAAGGTCATCTGCCAAGGGCTATCTAGGACAGATGTCCTTACTCTTGGGCAGGTAAAAATGTAGAGAAGAGACGCACCTGGCATGGAGTACTTGGAAAAGTCTGGAAGAGTGTGGGAGAAGGAGACTGTGCTGCTCCCACTGGGACTGGACATTCCATTGGCAATGGGTGAGGAGGACACTTTCCCATTGATGGTGGCATAGTTGGGGAGGCTGCCTGCCCGGTCTCCCAAGGACATTCTCCGCTTCTCTGGCAAGGCTGGTGTGGGACTCCCATGTCTGAAGGCTGCTGAGTCTGGTGAGGGGGAGGTCGCAGGGCTGCTCAGGCCAGGGTAGTAGGCAGGGGAGACGGGGAATGAAGGTGTGGAAGGAGCCTGGTAGCCAGAGGCACTGCTTTGCCGGGACAGCGTTGGTCGTCGGTCCTCGGGGGTAGAATAGCCACCATATGCGGCATGCCGGTCCAAGCTGGGGCTTCCAGGAACCACAGATCCAGATCCACCCAGGTGCCGTCCCAAGCTGGGGCTCCCAGGGCTAATGACTGCATTGCCATGGAGACTGGAAGCCAGATTCCCTTGGTGGGCCCCAGGGTGTCGGCCCAGGCTTGGGCTTCCTGGAGTGGTAGCCACATTGCTGTGGAGGCCTGGAACCTGGTGACTTCCCACTGGGTGCCGGCCCAAGCTGGGGCTTCCAGGAGTGGTCACTGCACTACTTGGGTGGCCAGAAACCACATTACCATGGAAAGCAGGGCCAGATGGACCCACCACCTGTCGGTGGCTCAAACTGGGACTACCAGGAGCAGGCATGGTGGGGTTGATAGCGCGACGGCCAAAGCCAGGACTAGGTGGCGTGTTGGTGCCTACTGTCCTGTGTCGTGCCTGAGGGCTCCCAGGCACCATGTGGACAGTGGCCGCACTGAACTGTGGCTGGGCTTGGCTTTCTGGAGAAGAGCTGAATGGCTGAAGGGAGTAGTCAGGGCTGCTGTAGCTGCTGCCACCAGCCGGGACAGGTGAAGAGCTCTGGTAACTCAGTGCTGCAGGACTCGGATGCCCCAGGCTACCTGAGCGGATGCTGGAATCCAGCATGGGCTGGATGGGTGTCCGTGGACCCTGGTCACTGCTCCCTCCTGATGGGAAACTGCCCACAGAAGTGCTAGAGAGAGATGGCAAGTAGGAAGGTCAGTGGGTGATATTTAATAAAGAGTGGACTTTTGCTGAGTGGCCAACATCCTTCAACCACTAAAAGCTCCACTCAGTGTGGAGGAAGTCGGGGCTTTTATACATTGCATAATGGAACCATCAGAAAAAGAAGCTGAGGGCCAGAGAGTTTAAGCAGTAAGCTCAATACCACAGAGGTCTAAAAGGCCAGGTTTCAACTCAGCCGCATCTGACTGCAAAACCCACACTTTCTTTACCAGCCACACTGACTCCTGACCCATGAGTCACAGCAAAGCAATCACCGGCAGCTGTCCCGATGTAAGCCCTTAGCACCATAGAAACTTAGAGATGGTCAAGCCACCTGACTCCATTTCTATTAGGGCTCAACTTGACTCAGTTTTCCTGGTGTTTTAACATCCTCTCAGAGTGCTAAAATTAGGATTTCACTCCTAGGTGACTCCAAAAAGCAAGGAACGGAATCACATACAAAGGGTACCCCAAGTTAGGAGATCTCAGCTCATTTGGAGGTCTGTCTTCAGCACCCCCAGTCTGGTCACTAATGGCACAAGCTGCCTGTGCATGGCCATGAGGTTCCTGTGATGCAAGCACAGGCTAGTAGATTCAAGGCTCTGCCCATGTATGATGTGATGGAAAAGAACAAGGTTGCCAAGGGACCAGGGTAGGCAGCCAGTAGAGAAAGGTGGCAAGCAGCTGGTGCTTGGCCATGCCAGGGAAAGAAGGGGCCTTACAGAGCCCAGCACCCCAGGTACAAGAAGCTGTGCTCTACGACCAGCAAGAGGCAGGGCCAGGAAAAAGGCCAGATGAATAGTAGGGAATAGATGAGATTTGATGAAGCAGCACTGTAGCAGGCTGTGTCGTACTGAGCAGAGGTGAAGGGCGGGGATGAGAGTGAGGGTACCATGGTGGAGTTCTGGGGTTTCAGAAGTGAGTTTCCAGAACCCTGGAAAAGAGCCAGGTGAGTGCAGAGGCAGTATGAGTAAGAAGCCAGGACAAATGCGAGAACTGGACCCCTGCCACCATGCTACCCCTGGAACAGGCAGCCTCCACCTTGGGAAAGAAAGGGCTAGGGAGGAAAGGTGGACTGGGTGTGAGCAGGGGAGTGTGCCTAGCTGGAGGGTTCAGAATGAGGATCCGGAGGGAACATCTCTGCTCATCTCTTGCCAGCCTGGGCAGGGCCAGAGTAAGTGTGAGCAGCATCCTGACCCCGGTGAGGGAGGAAAGCCTGGGAGTCTGAAGGTCATGGAGATCCCTGCATAGGGAAGAGTGGGTTCTAGAAGAGAAAGGGAGAGATGCTGCTTCTGTTTGCTAGCCTTGTCCTCCCCCTGCCTGGTGCTGTCTCTAGGCCTTGCCCAACCCCACCTCAGCCTCTTCCCCTGTGTTGTTTTCCCAACTGTAACATGGAATCTCATTCCCACCACCGATTCTTGCAGCTCCCTAGTATACCCCAAGCATGAATTCTGCTGAAGGGTTGGCCGTCGACTACCCAGCCCTGGGATTCCCTCCCTGTCTGACTCAGGGAGGCTACGAGTAGTGTCTAGACACCAAGATGCTCTTCCCTGGTGGGTTTCATGCTCTGAGTTGTCCTTGTGCCGACATCACACACCCTAGTTCTCTGTCCCTTTGATCTACGTCTTCATCCCAAGACATCCTGTCATCCTTCTGGAAGAATCCTTCAATGTCATCCTTCAATGTCCTCTCCACCTCCCTGGCTAGAAGCACTCACCCCTGCTTTGTCCCCTAAGCACTCTGTTTCTGGTCCAGTGCAGGGCACAGGTGGCTCTTGTCTACATACAAATCACTCAGGTTGGTGGAACAAAGTGAGAAAGAGATACGACCTCCAGATACATACACCCATAGGTTGAAGCTTGTTTGTGCCACTGCTCAACTACTGCCCCTTTGAGCCTCAGTTGTCTCTTCTGAGAAGTGAGAACAGCCAAACTTAGCTCTTGGGACTGCTGCAAAAAGTGGATAACAGCCGAAAGCTCTGAGGAGAGCAGCCTTCCACACACTAGGTTACCGGCAACAGGAAGGACTGCTCACTGGTCCCTTTCGCTCAAGTGGAATGGAGCACACCCTGAGAGCCTTGCCCATCTCCCCAGCTGCCTTAGGTTGGATGCCCAGAAATACTCTCCCTGAGGCCTTGAGAAAGGACCTCCAAAGGGTAGCAATCTGGATGGGATTTTGTCCATCCATAGTCTACACAGATCCTCTGAGGCCTCGGTCTCAGCCTCAGATTCTCATCCTGTACTTCCCATTCCTGGCTTACCTGTCAGCGCTAAGGATAGGACTGCTCGTGGAAAGGGGGCTGGGGGAGACAAAGGAGCCAGCTGGAGTCCCGTTCCTCAGGGGTGTCTCATGTCCATAGGCATGGGCAGCTGGGGCACTGTGGCTCTTGGGCTCGACATCCTGAGTTCGAGGCCCTGATACTGCTGTCCTCGCCACAGACTCCACATAGCTCCGGGGCTCTGGAAGAAATAAAGGGACAAAGAATGAACACAGGTGTGATAGGAATCCACTCACCCTGCCAGGGAATACAGCACCCCCAGAGTCCAGCCTAGGAAAGAGGCAGCCTGAAAATCCTCCACAAGACCCCAGGGGTGCTTTACTGAGACTGCGGTTGGCCCATACTCCCCAGACTGAGGCAAGATTTACAGGGCACTGGCTTTTAGAAGCCTTTGCTTCTCTCAGCTCTGCCTCTGCAGACGGCCACCAGCATCTTCCCCTAAGGATTTGGATGCCTGTCCATGGCTGGCATCCCCTTTGCAGCCTTATTTCTGTCCAGCCCTACCAGGGTCCCCAGATGCCCAGGTTCCTAGAGCAATCCCAAAGCTATTGCCTGACTCTGCCCACATCTCTGGATAGCAACCAGCTTGCTCATCCAGCAACACCCAAGGCCAGCCACTGCAGACTTACCAGCCCCTTCCTGGCAAGACACCCCACCCACTTCTACACAACACACTCAGCATTCCTTAGAAGACTGAGGCAGAGAACCCTGTGCCTGGGCGGAGCCAGACATTCTGTGCCCACTACAGTACAAGCAGTGCACCAGGCCATGCACGGAGAGGGGTTTCATACACAGTAACCCCAACCTAGTCTTCAGAGTAACATTAGCAACAGAAAGGCCATTCGGCAGATGAGAAGACTGAGGCCCGAAGAGTAAAATGACCAGGCATGTTGGACCCAGGCCCCCGTGACCTCAGAGGCCGGCCCTATACTAACCAGACAAGGATCAGGGTTCTCGGTTTCTTCAGGGACACGATCATGTAGAGGAGGTGTATGTCATTGCCAACACCTAGGATCCTGTCACCATCGTTATTGCCCCAGAGGAACAAGATGTGAACACAGACCCCTAGCTACCATAACCAGAGAATTCACCTAGCCTGGGAAATGATGCCCACCTGGGACAACCAGGCCCTGCAGCCCTTGAGGGCCAGGACTACAGTGGCCTGAGTAAGAGGAAAGCCCTTCCCCAGGTTCGTCGGGACAAGCAGATGAAGGAAAGTTGAGGTAACTAAATTGAAAGTTTGCTTCCTCAACTGGAGGAAAACCTGGCTTGGGAAGGAGGGAGTTACCTGGGATGTCCAGAGACCATACTCTGCAGGAGGCCCATCAACATCCACACCCAGCCACATGGACACGCTGGGCTGGGACTCAGCGTGTGGGGAGAGACAGCAAAGCCCCCCTCAAGTTGCTCAGGTCACACTCACTTCACAGGATTCCCAGGCCAACCTAACATAGAAGGTGTGGACTCTGGCCTCCCCAGGCCACAGCACTGTGGAGGTTCAGATGCCCTGAGGTACTATGACGCAGACCTGGTCAGATTCTCTGTAAATAGCTTAGGTGGGATTGTCTTATGGTCTCTGTCGAAATCACTCAACCCAGCCGTCATAGTGACAGTGGCTGCAAACAACAGCTAAACAAACAGGGCAGCTGTTTGCAACACAATTTTCTTTAGGAAAATAGGTAGCAGGTGAGTTGTCAGCAGCCAGTGTGTGCTGGCTCTGATCTGACCTGTCCACTCAGCTCAGAGAAGGGGAACAATTTGCCCACAACACAAAACCAGCCAATGGCTGTGGGCAGCACCATGTCTCCAATCTTACAATATAGGTTCTAGCTTACCTAAGGGGGCCCATAGTCTCATGGGGACACCAACACACATGAGTCAGAGGAATGCCAGGTCCACAGGTTCACCCATAGTGGTAAAACCAGTCAAGAGTCGTGTGAGCTTAGTAAGATTTGGAGAGCAGAAGCACCCAGCCAGTATGAGGCAGAAGTGGCAACAGGTACTCAAAACAGTCTTCCAGCCAGCCGTTACTCATAGGTCATAAGATCATCCAAAGTTGGGAAGCCAGTGGCTGTCCCTCACCCTCCCTGCCACTCCCTCTGGACATCCCCCAGGCCTTTTGAGGTGCTCAGCACAGCTCCTCTTGCTTGCCCACAACACACAGCAATCCTCTCTCACCCAGAGACCCCTGCTACCCACAGGCTTCACTAGCCTGACAAAGGTTCCTGGCACCAGCCACAGTACCTGGTACAGAAGATTCTGTCTCACAAATTCATAGCCACATGACCCTCCCTTCCAACCCCATCCAGACATCACCTCGAGTAAGAAGCCAGGTCCAACACATCCCCTCTGCTATCTTTACTCCTTGAAAGTCAGGTTGAATGGAACCTGCACTGGTGGCACTCTGACTCACGTTCCTACCCTACCCGACTCCATTCTTATCCGCATCCCCAGTGGCTACATTTTACCTACTTACCCCCCTAGGTCCCTTGCTATATGACTGCAGATGGCTTTGGCCTTTGGCTGGAGTGGTTGGTCTTTATTGTCAGGGGAGAGAGGGAAGGAGGGAAGGAGGGACGGAGGGATGGGGTTATAGCCCATCCTCTATTTATCCCAGCTGTACTAGCTCCTTCTGGGTGGGTAAGGACAGCTCCCACCCCTGCTAGGGAGCCCTCAAGGCCTCACACCCTCTCTTGTTTGCCCAGACTTTTCAATCAATCACTTCAGTCGCCCCACTGGAATGAACCATGCAGTCTGCCAGGCAGACCTCAGCCCACACATTAGGTAAGCACCACGCTCTATGCTAAGTTCTCACTTTAAAAAGTCCATATTCTGCCAACAGAAAGCTAAGAGAAAGCCCACAGCCGGAACACAGCCACGCCCAATCAACCTAGGTGGTGACTCTCTGTCCCAGCTGAGTGCGGACTCCACTTCCCTGTAAACCCGGGATTAAAAACAACTCACCTGCCTAGGATGCAGGCATGTGAGAAAGGACATGTCCTTTTAGTTCTTGGCAGTTCTGGCTGGTCCACATTGGTCTTTGACCTCAACCTCCCTCCACCCTCGTACACTCCCTTCCTGGGGTGGGGGTGCGGAGTCACAACTCCTCCTCTTCTAGTCTCCTAGGGAGCAGCTGACCTACAGGCCACCAAGCTGGGGAGGGCAGGAGAAGTGGAGCCAGGGAGGGTGCTGCATGGAGAACATTCCAGAAGCCCAAACCATTCCAAGTGGCTGCTGGCAGCTGAGAGCAACAGAACACAAGGGTGACTTGACTCCTCAGCCGGGGACTACCAGCTCTTCACCACATTCTCAAGTACATCGCCTCACTGGGAAAAAAAGATCTGGCTGATGGAGAGGGGCCAGCATCGCCCACCCTAATAAGATGGAGACACGGGGGTTGGGGAAAAGGCTTCAGTGATACAGCACTTGCCTAACATGTGCAAGGTCCTGGGTTCAATCCAGACAACGATAAATACATACAAAAATGAAATACTGAAGACACGGGTGCTGCAGAAGAAAGAAGGAAGGAAACTCCTAGAGCTAGAGTTAGGAGTGGGCCACATGTAGCCCCCAAGCACCCCTCCATATCTCTGCTCAGACCTTCTGCCTCACGGTAAGATCTCTACCCTCCCCAGGCGCCTCACCCATCCTTAGACCTTCAATCCCTAACACAGGGCCTGGTGCATGGTGGGTGGTGGACAACTCTGTACTCGGTCACCTGTTGTGATGCTCCCAAACACCATCACCAAGAACTCAGAGGGATCAAAGTCCCCAGAGTCCAATGTCTTCCTTTATGCCAAATCTATCCTCGCAGAACAACTGGGAACAAAGAGAACCTGGCATGGAAAGACTTCCTAAAGTCCACCATGGCCAGTTCTCTCTCCTTCCCTGCCAGAGAAGGACTCTGTCCAGATGTTCTGGTGTCCCTTGTACTATGTGTACCCACCAGAATGGGCAGTCCCCACATGCCGAAACACAAACTCTCAACTCTGCCCCTGGTCCCTGTGAAGCTGCTAAGTCATCTAACCCCATCCCGGTTGATAAAATGGAGTCGATACCACCTTCCTCTCAGCTGTTATGAATAGTAAAAACTAACGTGGCCTGGCTCTTGTGTGTTTAACCTTACTCCAGACCACATGTGCAAACACATGTGCTCTGGCTCCATACACCTCTCTTCTTGGTTTTTAAGTTTCTGGGTGGGGGGCAAACAAGCTGGGGGCTGTCGAAATAGCTTAGTGGGTGACACGCTTGCTGCTCAGGGGCGAGGACCTGAGTTTGGATCCCAGCACCCACATAACATTTGGGGGAGTGGCATGTGTCTGTAACCCCAGCACTAGGAGAGAAGGGGAATGGGGACAGGAGGATTCCTGAAGCTCACTGGCCAGTCAGCTTAGACAAAATGATGAGCTCCAGGTTTAACACGAGACCTTGTCCCCAAAAGTAAGGTGGAGAACAATAGAGGAAGCCACCCCACATTAACCTCTGACCTTCACACACACACACACACACACACACACACACACACACGCGCGCGCGCGCGCGCGCGCGCGCGCGCGCGCTATGACGCCCAAGCCCAGAGCCCATGTACACCATTTCCCTGGTCTCCATTACCTTCCAGGTTTCACCAGGCCAATGACACCCGTGTGCACATCTACCTCACGCTCCTTCTTTAGCCTAAGGTCTCACAAAGCTGTGCCCCCTCCCTCCCAAATGCTCCATGCATAATTCTTACTCCTATTCATGACATGATCATGAGCTTAAGATACATGTCACATCCAGCCTCTTATCCCCCCAGAGACTGGCCCGTTGCCTGCTGCGTAACAGGCCCACAGCACAGGGACTGACTGGATTCATCAATGAAGAGAAGAATGCATGGATATGTTTAGCCCAGTGGCTTCAACAGAGCAAACATCCCTCAAATTCTTCCTTCCCCAGCTGAAGAATCCTGTCACTGATCATTTTTTCCTCACAAGCCTCTCTTTATGAACTTTCCATCAAAGTGTCAGCATGAACATCAAACACAGCTTCCAAGCTTCACCAAACAATGTGGCCTGGGCTGACCCAGGAGGTGGCGCCTGGGTTAAGAAATGTTCAACTGGCACCCCAGCCTTAATGCCCTCCCCGCCTGCCCTCAAGCTGGAAGCCCGGGCCACCAAACCTGGAAACAGGGTGGGCTTAGATAGGGCCCTTTGGCTAGCAAACAGGAGGCCCAGAAATGCAGTCTGGCCGAACTGCCTCTTGGTTGTGATCTTGGGTGGGTCCCTCGCCCCCACTGTAACCCCAGACCTTAGCTATACTTCCCTGAAAGCACAGGCGTGGCTGGGTGGAGAAACCTTGCCTTCAGAATTCCTCTGCTCTGATACAAGGATGGATGAAGGGTAAGGAGACTGAAGACCATGTAAGTGGAGAGTCATTTGTGAAGCACACTTAGGAGGTCTCCCTTCAGCTCTGTCAATATTCACTCATCTGAACAGCCACCCAGAAGCAGAACACAGCTCCCGGAGCCTGGACGCCTACCTGATAACTTTCTCCCAGAGTCTGACAGCCCATGCCTGTACTGAGTTAGCCACCCCCACGCAGGGCCTGAGCCTCTCTGTGCTGACAGGCACTGAGGCTGTGGGAAGCAGTCTGGAGAAAGCATGTCCCCTGCCTGAGGTTGGCAGAGAGTAGCCTTGACCCCCAACTTCTCAGATCTGCAGCCTCCACACAGGGGCTGGAGAGATGGCTCAGCACTCTAGAACACTTGTTGCTCTTGCAGAGGACCCGAGTTCAATTCCCACCACACACATGGTATCTCATAACCACCAGTCACCCCAGGGGATCCCACACCCTCTCCTGACCTCCACAAGCTCCAGACACACAAGTGCATCCACACTGGCAAAATATTCATAAGCATGACATAAATCTAAAACTTAAAATAATTATTAAAAACATAAAGAAATCAGTGAAGCTTCTGGGAAGCCACGACCACCACACCTGAAACGAAAAGTCAGTAGGGCCATACCCATGCTGGGGCAGAAACCAAGCCATTTGGTGCAGAGGGAAGTGGGCCTAAGAAAACCAAACTAAGCACCTATAGAGATAGCCACACAGAACCACGGGCCTAAGGTAGGAACATAGCATAGCTGGAGGGGACCCTGGGACTCACCTGTCTAACATATCCTGAGGAGATGAGGACATCCATGCCCAGGGACACATGGGAGCCGCCCAGGCCAGCATCCCTTAGTCCATGACCACTATGAGTCGTTGGGCTTCCGCCCTCCTGAGCTAACCTTCTTCTACCAGAATATAGCCCTGCTTCATGTCCAGGCACAATGCCAGGCTTCCTCCAAAGCAAGGGTTAGGCTGGCCTCAAAGCTGAGATCAACTGTGAACTCCTTGAAAGTATTTCTCAAGGAGCCAGTGAGATGGACCAGTGGGTAAAGGTGCTTTCCACCAAGCCTGACAAGCCGAGTCCCTAAATCCAGGCCCTCACTCAGGCATGGTAGAAGGAGAAAATGTATTCCCCTGACCTCCACACATACCATGACACCCATGTACCAATGTGCAGGCATGCACGAGAACACACACACACACACACACACACACACACACACACACACACAAATGCAATAAACTTTTATAAGTAAAGTTATCTTTTGAGAAGGAAAGCAAGTGCCTCTCAGAATTGAGCATGGGTGTCCTGAGGCACATTTGTGGGAATGAGCCCATAACCAGCCTGCAATGCCACAGGTGCCTGGCTTACACAAAGATACACTTCCTGCCATTATGCTGACGGGAAATAAGTCATGGTTCTGGGGCTGTGGCTCTAAACGAGTGACACTGTCCCATTAGGGTCGAACCTGCAAATCCCCTCACAGACTCATGTTTGAACACTCAGTCCCCAGCAGCTGGCACTACTTTGGGAGGCTGTGGAACCAATAGGATGTGACCTTTGTAGAGAATGGCCACCCCTGATTCCTGCCTCTTGCTCTGCTTCATAGTCTTCAATGAAGTGAACAGCCTTCATCACACACTCCCACTGTCATCAACAAGCTGCCCCATCATGACATTCCCGTCATAAGGGACTGAAATCTCCTCGTCCATGAACCTAAATAAGCCATGCCTCCAAGTGCTGTCTGTCAAGTCCCCGTGTCAGATCACTGTCACAGAGATACAAAAAAAGCCAGCCCACAGCAAAAGCTGACACTGAGCCGGATGTAGTGACACATGTCTTTGATCCCAGCACTTGAGAGGCAGATGCAGGAGGATCTCTGTGAGTTCCAGGCCAGTCTGGTCTATGGAGCAAGTTCTAGGACAGGCTCCAAAGCTACACCGAAACACACTGTCTCAAAAATCAATACAAAATAACAAAAGCAGACACTGGTTCTATTGAAGGCACCATTGTGCCTTCAACACCCAGCAAAAGGAAGCCAGTTATACACCTTCAGTGTACAGGGCAGCCTCTAGAAGGACCTGCACAGACTTAAATGCCTGAGTGGCCAAGCAAGAGAAGTCCTGCTCTCTCTGCCCCTCCCCGTCTGCCTCTGTGTACACTGCACACCAGCCAGGTGGTGCATGTGCCCCTGGGAGAGGAAGTGGCACAAGGGGTATTTTTGTCAACAAGGTGGCACCATGCTGGCGCCTGGATACTAGCTGTGCCTGAACTGGTGCCCAGTGGCAACAAGTTTCCCAGACAGCATTCAGGCAGTGCCCAGAGTGGCATCTCATTGTCAGAGGGTGGGGACAGGAAGGCTATATGCCTAGTCACTTGAGAGCAGGTGAGGAAACAGATCTAGCCCCAGCCAGCCTTGTCAAGCTCCATGTGAAAAGCCATCCCCAGACCCACAGAGCAGAGCCACACACAGCAAAGTGCACTCACCTTCTGGAGGCTTAGTCACCTCCTCCCCCTCATCTTCTTCTGAGGGAAGAGAAGAGAGACAAGAGGAGGACAGGCAGGAAGGGAGAGCAGACGATAAAGATGAGAGGAAGATCCCAAAGAAGAAAGAGAAATAGAGAGAGAGAAGTTATCAGGATTACATCGAGAGAAAGAATTTGCTGAAGACCAGGAGGCTGGAGGCTGAGATGCTGCTCTACCCAGGACCCCAGAGTCCAGGGCCATGGTGAAGCACTCAGGATCCAGGTCCCTCCCAGCCTCCTCAACCAGGGCTTGCGTAGATTAAGCATCAGGTAGTGGCATGCTGGCTAGCCAGAGAAGGCCCCTGGCCCTTCATCTCTGTGACGGCTGGGTGTGTCTGCCCATGCTCACGCATCCTAAGTGAAGGCTGTGTCTCAGTGTCTGCATTGTTCACAAATGCACATTACCACCCTCTTACCTGGCTGGATCAGTCTTCTGGGGACTAAGGAAAAAAGGAAAAGTTGACCCCCAAGAGCTTCAACTCAGCTTTAAAACTAGAGTCACTTTCTAGCTCAGCAGACTCCAAATTGCCATTAAAAGTCCCAGGACCTGTCTCCCTCCTCCACAGAAAGAAACTGGGGGATGGCAGGAAATAGGGGGGGTGGGTCATCAGACAGTGACTTGCTCCCAAACATAGTCATCTACCCTATAGCCCCATAAGTACAGGTGATCTTGGCATGGTTGGGGCAGCCCAAAATGTCCCCCAGAGCCAAGTTCCTACTCTTAGCAGCAGAGCCAAAGGCTGCTGACACTGGGCATGTGAACACAGGGATGAGCAGTGCTTCTGGGTAGTAGGCACCTTTATGGGCAGAGAAGCCCAAGTTGATGGTGAAATAGATGGGAGAAGGCAGACAGCATAGCTGCTTCTCAGGCAAAACATTGTAGGGGAAAACATAACCCAAATACCTAAGCTCTAGCTTCTGATGTCACCAGGATGTTCAGCACAGGAGCCACTGGGTTGTTGTAAGGTGAGGGGCTGTCACCAAGCAGCAGACATGGTTCTCTACTAAATACCTATGTGTGTATACACACACACACACACACACACACACACACACACACACACACACGTGTGGGGACACAGCCAGGGAGTTAGGCTTCTAGCAAGGCCGACCAACTCCAACGAAACTGGAAGCAGGTCTCAAAACCCGAAGGCCCAGAAAGTAATGGCAGGCAGGAAGAACACCCCAATGCCTGCAGAGCAACCCCCACAATCATTACTTCAGTGTGGAACACAGTCATGGCCTCCTCATTTCCAGGAAGGTCCCCCAAAATCTTTGCTCTGAGTCCTCTAGTCAGAACACCTGCTCAGGCTACTAGGTTCTCCTGGCCTTCCGTGCTATTTCCCTCCCTCCCTTCCAATCACTCACCACCTGTGGGGTGCAGTAGAATGTCCGCTGGGTTGTGGGGTTTCAGACCCAGAGCAGACAGGGGTGTCTTGGCCAGACCTGGAGGAGAGCGCACTGTGTGGGAAGAAGATGGAGACACAGGAAGTGAGGATACACCATGGTAAGGGTGTGTACTGCTGAGGTCGGGGCAACCAAGAATGGGTCCTGAAGCCCCTTCCTTCCCTCAGCTGAGCTGGCTCTCCTGCCCTTCCCTGCCTTTATGCTGCTTCACATTTCAGCTTGAAAGGGAGACAGTTGGGATTGACACCCCTGTCCTGACCCTTCCCCGCCCCTGAGAGAAGGAAGGCTATGGCTCCTCTCCACAGCTACAGTCCTTTTACCTTATGAAGGCTTGAATTAGCCACAGAAGGCTTCTTCAGTTTCTTTGCCTTCCTATAGAATATTATCTTCCCACTTTCTCCTTCCCCAGCATCCCCTACTACACACATACGGACACAGAGACAGACACACACAGAGACACACACAGACACATGGACACACAGAGACACACAGACACACACTTATTCTCTCTCCTCTCTCTCCTCTTACACACACACACACACACACACACACACACAGAGAGAGACAGACACACACACAGACACACACTTTCTCCTCTCTCTCCTCTCTCTCCTCTTACACACACACACACACACACACACACACACAGAGAGATTGCAAGCCAGGCACACAAATGTAGGATGAGAAAAAATAGTCTCAAGAGGACACATCTTGAAAAGCAGGGCTGAGCATCACAGGCAGGGACCTCACCATCCCTGAGACTCAGAAGCCCCAGGCCACGTGGCCCCTTGAAAATCGCAAGAGAGGCCTTGTCAGAGTGAGGCTTGGTACAGGAGTCTTGGTACCCTGGGAGGAAAAACTAGCACGGCTTCCTGGGTGAAATGAGGCTCCTCCTGAGTGGCCCATCTGGGTCACAAGTGTCACATATCACACAAGGTCAGAAAGGGCCACCCAGCTTTTTCTCATTCGCCAAGGACTTCGAGCTGAACAACACAGGTGGTATCGTGCCCAGTCACAAGCTAGCTCAGTGGCAGCTACCATGTATCCCAGCACATCTCTGAGAAGAGGTAAAGAAATAAGGACTGAGACTCCTGTCAGGAATCCCAACAGCCAGGAGAAAACACAGCCCCTAAGGACATATCCTATTCTCCACAGCTCTCAACAAATGAGGTGTGGCCTTCATATGCCCAGGATCCAAACTGGGATCCACAGTCATTACTTTAAGTAATAAACAGCAACAACAAAGTACCATCCTTCAGTGTGAACAGCAGGCACAGCTTACCTGTGTGTGTGTGTGTGTGTGTGTGTGTGTGTGTGTGTGTGTGTGGACACACGCGCGTGCACACACACACACACACACACACACCAGGGGACATCACAGGTACAGATGAGACCTGCTTCTGTACTCTGCCTTTTCTCTGTCCCTAGGCATCCCCACGGGACAAATGTGTGTGACACACACTTCCATGGCTGAGTCAGGTAAGGCCTTTCCTTGTTCTCTCCACAACATCTCCCTGCCCCACACTGCTAACACCGTCTTTTGCTCGAAAGCACTTCTCTGTCACTTAGTAATGTTTGTTACTCAAATGCCAGTTTAAATGGCATCACCATGAAAGAATGAGCTGCTCCTGCGAGCAGGGTTTATAGGAAAAGCCCCCATCTTCGGCTAACATCCGCTGCCCAGTAGGTGCAGCTGAGGGGCAGGGGGCCAAGGAGAAAGAAACAGGAGACCAGAAATAGTAGAAGCTTTGCTTGGTTTCTCCCCTCCACCCCATCTTCACTTTCCCAGACCCAAGCAATGTGGCCCTTATACTGAGGCAAGGAGTGGGCGTCTCTGGAGACAGGCGCCCTCTCCGTCCTGAGAGAAACATTCCTTGCATTTCTCCGCCTTCCAATCTCTCTCCCTGGCCCCAGGCATTTATGAAACTTCTGACTTATATTTGTGCCCAGAGCACGCATGACCAGCCGCCAATGAGGAGAGAAACAGCAGAACCCAATTCTGGTACAATTAACATGGCTTCCATTCCCAGCAGGGGATGCCCAGCCCTCAAGACTGCTGGACACAGCAGTGAGTGGAAGGAGTTATAAAGGTTGAGGCCTAGTCACAAGAAGCCACAAAGCCAGCTCTTGAGCAGAGTGCCCTGGGTCTATACAATCACTGCTCTAAGCTCAACCTGGGCATTTACAGTTGGCTAATCTGGACCGGGCTGTGCGAGGTGTGCAGAATACACACTGCAATTCAAAATGTGAAACCCCCCCCCCCCACACACACACACACAAAATAACATTTGAGTTTGTTCAGTATTTTGTTGTTTCTTTGGTTTTGTTTTTGCTTCGCTTTTGCTTTTTTAAGAGAGGTTCTTGGTCTCAAACCTGCAATCCCCTCTGCTTCAGCCTCCTGAATGATAAAATTACAAGTGTGTACCACCATACTTGGTTCATTTTATTGATTTATTTTGCTTTTTTTTTTTTTTTTTTTTTTTTTGAGACAGAGTTCCCCGGTGCAGGCTTGGCAGTCCTAGAACTCATTCTATAGACCAGGATGGCCTTGAACTCACAGAGAGCCTCTCGCCTCTGCCTCCCGAGTGCTGGGATTAAAGGTGTGAGCCCCCAGCAGCAGCAACAGCAGCAACAGCTCATTTTTAAAATACCAATGTCACTAACTCAATATTTCAGATTGGAGTTATATAAAAACATTTCTAACTTTAATTTCATGGGTATCCTTTGAAAGTAAATCCTCTGTGCACATATGTAGAATGTTCACATGTGTACACATAGGTGGTATGTTGACGTGTGTGCTTGCAGCATGCACATGTAGAGGCCAGAGGCTGGCATCTATGTCTTGCTTTATCTCTTTCCACCCTACTTTTTGAGATTGGGTCTGTGGATTCTGAGAGGCCAGCAGCCAGCTCCAGGGGATCCTCTTGTCCCTGTACCCTAGAGTTGAGACTACAGGTGCTCCTAGCTTTTTGTGTGAAGGTGCTAAGGACCAAAACTCAGGCTTTCATGATTGTATAGCAAGCACTTGGCCCACTAAGTCATCTCCCTAGCACTCTTATAATATTTTTTATATTATATAATGTCTCCATAAAATATTGATACTGAAATACTGTCTACCCTATTGAAATGCCAATTTTTCAGATCAGTAAAAAGTTACTACAATTGATTTCACTAGTGTTCTGACACAGGGAATTTTAAATCACAAGTCTGTGTGTGTGTGTGTGTGTGTGTGTATTCATACACATGTGCTCATACCACACACTCCACTGGGCATCAGAAGCCATGCCTCCCAGGACCACCACTGTCACAGCTTCAACTACCCATATGCCTGGGATAGTAGCCCACACATGCATACAGGCAGGCCACATTCCGTCCCTGTACAGGTCAGTCATACCCCAGAGAATGTACAGCTAAGCTCAGTCACCTCTTCCTGCTGGTGTTCTCTCCCCCCCCCTCTAATGGGCAGCTCAGGCCAGTCCCAGTCTACCTAAGCACTGAGCATCGCCCTCCTCTACTTTATCTGCAACACAGGCCTCTCATGGGGACCCTGGGTTCCTTACCACCTGGTATAACCCTATCACTTCCCCTTCAACAATCTCCCCCAATTCCTCTCAAGGCAATTTCCCCTACAGAAAGGAACACTGACCACCCTGGGGCTCATTCTGCTCTTCTGTCTGTCTGTCTGTACTTCAGGGACTGGCCTTTCCAGTGAATACACTGGGGGTGTAAACTTAAAACCCTTCCTGGAGACTGAGGACAGCATGAGAGAGGATATACCCTCCCAAGTTCTTTGTTAGTAGAAGTGACACTGGGTGCCTGAAATGAAGATGCCTGGATACGGATAGGCAAGGCATCAGAAACAAAAGCAAGGATAAGTCACAATTGTCATTTTGGAGAGGATTTCTCAATAGTGTTACATGGGAACACACACACACACACACACACACACACACACACACACACAAGAGAGCCAGAACCTACAGTCAAACAATATGGATGCTAAGTCTGAGATGGTCTCATATTTAAGTTGAGAGTAGCCTGGGGTAGCCGTGGAGTGAAAAGCAATGCCAGCCCTTCCCACCTCCCCTGACTCTCTCCCCACCCACCCCACACCTGCGACAATCACACAGACTACTGAGGAAACGTTGAAGAGGATACAAGGTGGGGAAGGAGACAGGTTTAGTAGGTGCTCTTACCCCCACTGGGTGTTGGGCTGCTTGGGGAGGTCCCCTCCATCTCCTCAAAGGCCTCCTTGTAGCTATGCAGATGGGGCTGCAGGAGAACAGAAGGGTGGAGAGAAGGAAGCCCTGAGGAGAGGCTCCTCCTCAGGTGATCCTGGGCATGAGGGTAGCAAACTTGGCAGCTCACACATTCCCTGTCCAGCTTGAGTCTCCACCTCACCCAGGGAAATCCCAATGCTGGCCACTCACTGCCTCAACCACTCCTTATTGGTGGTGGAGTATGGGGAGTGGCTGTTTGCAAGGCCACACTAAAGCTCAGGCTGAACTATGTCAGAACAGGGTCACAGAGAACTGCTATACTCGAGCCTCTGAGGGGGTACTTGGAAATGTGGGAAATGAGGGTTTTCAACAAACTCCCTGGCAGTTCTTCTGCACATGGAAGTTCAAGAGCCACCACCTCTGACTACTGAAATGTCTCAGCAATGGAATCATTTGGGCACAAAAATGAAACATCCTAAGAGCCTTATTTTTCAAAAGCTCAAAACGATGCTTTCCATTCTATCTGCCCCACTTTGGACTGTAAATCTTGAGATCACTATGCCACGTGATCTTATGCCTCCCTAAAGAATTTTCTTTGGGGATCAAGAAGGGAACTTCAGTCTCAGTGTTAAAGCAAGCTGGGGTACAAATGTTGTTGAAGAGAGGAGACCTGGGGTGAGGATGCGGAAAGGGAGAAATCACTGCATTTACTGGTGAAGCAACAGCAGTTGACCTTTGAGCTCCTGGAGATGCACCACGGACTCTGCCTCCTGCTGTGGCCCCAGGACTAATCAACTCAAGGACTCATCAACTCACCTCTTTGGGTCGCCCTCCAGGATTGAGGGCAATGGTAAGAGCCAGCTCAGGGGAGACGCACTGGACTGGGGAGCGGACCCCAGGACTACGGGGAGACGTGGCCTCTGGAGACTGGTTCTCATACTGTCCATCACTGGCTGCCCGTCTCCGGAGCGGGGCTGGGGGCTCTGCAGGCTGCCTCTCCCTAGCCTGTACCCCTGGGAGGAAGGGCAGGGTATGGAGAGTAATGAGCAGACTAAAGAATGATGCAATCCCACCTAACAACACCCCCTCACACAAAGGCAACACTTCAGCTGGGGGGCTAAGCTGGAGTGAACCACATGCCCTCTGCCCCTCACCATGCCTTCCTGCCCCCAACTCAGCTCAAACCCTAAATTGTCCCCAGTATGGTGGGGTGGACGGCAGAGGCTGCTTAGCCTGCCCTCTGCCTTCAAGAGGAGTTTCTACACTGCATAGGATTTGGACTCAGAGCACAAAGGATTGATACAAGAAACAGATGTCGGCGGCTTCCAGCTCCCAGAGGCAAAAGGCCAGAGCTTCCAGAGGAGGGGAGGGAGGGTCTCCAAGGCAACTGCATCAACCAACAAGCAACATGGAGCCTTTGGGAAGGACTTTTGGAAAGAGCTAAATTGTATCATCTATGCACATGGTGCTCCCAGTGGGAAACAAAGGAATGACCAAGTCACACCCTGAAGTCTCCAGCCACACTGGCTTCTGCGGTGGTTCTCATCTCAGGGCTTTCATCTACTGCACCCCTGAAACCTCTACCCAACTTCCCTACAGCAGCCCCTCGGCAGCCGACTTCCTCTCATCAACCTACGGTGGCTGCAGCCATGGTGGAGGTCAGGCTCCCACCATCCCCTACCCTGGCAAAGGGCAAGCAAATGAGAGCAAAGGGCCTGTCCCCACTTCCTGTTTAACCCACAACAAGGGCTGCCCATGTCAGCCTCACCCTGCCTCCTCCCCATCGTCTCTCCTCACAGCTGGGCCACGGCAAGGAATCTATTATTTCACTGTGCCGGCTTCCAGAATCCTAGAATACTGACTTCCCAGGTCCAGGAGCCAAGGCCCAACCCTGAGAGTTGCCTCCTAGGCCTAATTATTTTAAATTCTCATCTCTGCCTCATCAACACCAGAACTAAGGGGCTTAGGTCACATGAGCCTGGGACATGAACACACATCTGGGACCCCCTTCACAAGTGGGAGTGTGTACATATACACATGCATGTATAAACACACACGTGCAATGCTGGTCTTTAGGAACACAGCCGGGACAGCCTGCTAGGACTCACCCTTATGTAGCCCAAATCTCCTCATCCTCTATAGTGGGACTTGCACAGCTCAGGTGGTCCCCAACCCTTAGTTTGCCACAGCCACAAATGGTTGCCATGGCCTGCACTGCTCAGGAAACCTTCCTGCTTAATATGAACAGCAAAGTGCTGGCTGGGGCAGAGCCACTTCGCTCACACAGAGTTACTGTGGTCCATACGCATGTGTTCTGTGATAGAGGCTCCGGGGGCCTGTCAGGGGATAGCAAGACCGGCTGCCAATGGTACAAGTTAGATGCTGAAGGTAGAAGGCACACCAGAAGTCTCCACACTGTGCTGTTACTCAGAAGCAGTCCTGCCTACCTACACAGTGGAGACCAAAACAGAGGGCATCCTGCTGGTCCCAAATGGCTCTGCTCAAAGCAAACAAGCCTCTAACCTCAGAAGGCCCTGATTTCCAGGAGAGAAAAAAAGAGGGTGTGTCAGTCCAGAGCAGGGGCTTCTGGGAGAATCTACAGGGAGTAAAGAAAGGAGGCGGCTCTGGACATCTGGAGCCACATCAGATTCTGTCAGCAACTATAGGCAGCCTCTGGCCTCAGCCCCCCTCTTCTCTTTCCTCCAACCAGTCCCTGCTCAACTCAGGCCTCTGGGAAGTGTGAGACAGTGTTTCTGGGCTCATTCCTGGCAGAAACATTAGAGGGAAGCACACACCAGCCACTGTTTTTCTAATAATGTTGTGACAAAGGAGCGACTTTACAAAAGTTCTGGGGGTATGGAGTTGAGTTCAGCTCCCAGGTGAAAAGAAACACATAAGAGCTGCCTTTGGGTGCAGGGGCACCCTCACACTGCCACCACCACCACCACCACCACCACCACCACCACCACCAGTCTCTGGCAATCTCTTTTTGGCTTTTTCAAGAGTAACCACTTCCTTGCTTGAGGGCCCTGTATTGGCTTTTGAAAAGGTCTGTTTCCACTGGAGTCACACTCTAGGAGGGGCAGAGAACATTCTCACCCATCCTTTCCTGGCGCTGCCTCCAGGCCTAGGGCCATAGGACAGTAGTGAGGGCTGAGGCTGTTCTGCATGTATGGTGGGCCATTAGTAGAGGACACAGACCTGCCCAAAGTAGACAGGTACTTGAGAGCAAGTGTAACTGAGTCATTCCTCTCCCTTCCCTGTCACTGGCAGGATGGCTCATGGGAGCATGCTCTGGCCAGAGACAGCGGGGTGGACCAAATGATCTCCAAAGAGCAAGGAAACTGCAGGACAAAGTTTCCCCTCACAGAAGAGGAAAGACCCCCACATTCCACTCCCACAGGGCTGACCATTCCCAGAGAGTGGTCCATGGCACCAACAGCCAGTCAGGACACTCAGTCTTGGAACACAGTGTCTCACTGTTGTCCCCCTTGGCAAGCCCATAGCTAACCCAGAGTGCCTGGAGAGCTGTGGTCCCTCTCTTTAGTCTCTTTCTATGAGAAGGAGCCTGACACAGTAGAGGGGAGAAAAGAGAGCTTCATTGTTCTTCAGCCAAGTGGTGACTCTGGACACCAGCTGATAGCCAGGGCCAGAGAGAGAGACGAGACAGAGAGTAGAGAGAGAGAGAGAGAGAGAGAGAGAGAGAGAGAGAGAGAGTGCAAAGCCCTCTTACATGCCCAAAACATTAAAAATGGGTCTGCTTCCTGAGCATACCTCCACTGAGGATTCCCTCAGTCTCCTAACCTATCTTTCTATCTTTCTCCCCAAGCCTTTGTTTCCTACAGGCACACAGGCAGAAGAGTGTGCGCACTCTCCTCTCTCTCTCTCTCTCTCTCTCTCTCTCTCTCTCTCTCTTCCTCTCTCCTCCCTCCACACCCCCACCCACACACCACCCCACCCCACCCCCACTCCCACCCAGTCCCTAACTTTCCTTACAGCAGGCTTTAGGGCCAATGAAAGCTGAGTAGGAAAAGAGAAGCCATCAATGGCTCTGGAAGGTTCTCCCCAGCAGGCTGCTCAGTACTGAGAAGAGGGATGCTGCGATGGGAAGAAAGTAGCCTTTCAGCTCATAATGCCCACCCTCAGTCCTGTTGTCAGCCTCTAAGGGCTATTTCACCTGGGGCTGGCTGGCACCTATTATCTTCCCCACTGCCTTATGGAGACAGGTGGTCACCACAGCCTGAGAGCTGCCACATACACCTACCTAGGAGCAGTGTTGAGTCAGCCTCTGCCCTCACTTCTCCCAGGACAATGCTGTACCTAGGGGAACAGTTCTTGTCCAAAGTACACTATGGGTCTAGACCTAATCCCATGCATGTGCATATACACCTGTATATGTATAGAGAGACCTATATATAAATACACACATACACACATACACACATACACACATACACACATACACATACACACACACACACACACACACACTTTGGCAAAGCACTGCCACCCTTTCAGAGTCATATGAATAAATACCCAGAGTCACACAGTGACACCACAGGCATAGACACCAGACCTTTCCCATGGACCCAGATACTGGTCACCCCCACCCCCACAGACCCAACTCTTCTTTCCAGCCTTCCGATTTCCAAAAGACTGGATTCCTCAGCTCCAGGTGGTAGGACTGGGTGTCCGGCTGCATGCCCAGGGCTCCAGAAGTAAGGGGATCCAGGATGGAAGCCACCTGCTGGGCCAGGGTACTAGAAAGCCACACGCGATCACACTAGCAGCTCTAGGGCAAGCCATGCCAGCTCCCCTTGGGACAGGTCCACCGTCTCATACATAACCTGAACAGATCCTGGGCCCAGCTTAGTACTACATTCCCCACTGCTGGGCCAAGAAAAAGGCAGAGGGGGAAGAAAGGAGAGGGAAGGGACAGCTCCAGCTGTCCCTGACAGGGCCAGCTCCTGAATATCAGTGGACAGGAACAGAAGGGTCCATGGGGCAACAGACACTGCACGCTGTCAGGAGTGGAGGATCCCTTGCCTGGAGCTGCTTAAGGCTGTGGCACTGGAGAAGCCTGGGTACATGGCCTCCTCCCTGATTCTGGTCTTCAGGCAGGAATAAGCAAACAAAGGATGAGAGCCTAGCAGCCTGCATGTCCCAGAGGCTGGGGACACCAGCTGACATAGTCCTAGAATAAACTAACAGGTTGTTGATGTAGGGCCAGCACATTTGCAGTGTGTTGCAGCACCATGCCACATATGCAAGGCAGGGCTTTCAGACTGGGAACGTGGGTTCTGAGCAGTGGAGGCACTAGATGGGCACAGGCCACGGATCCTAGCATCAGAGGGGTATTGTGCAGCAGGGACTGCCACCTCTTCCTGTCTGACATGTGGTGGGTCCCAGAGAAAACACAACCTGGCTCCTCCAAGTCTTGGCCCTGAAACCCAAACCATCCCAACTGGGGTGGCTGAGGATAAGCGACTGGGACCCTCATTGGCACCTCACTGGAAAGACCAACATCTCCACAGGGCACTCTGAAAGTTCCCATAATTACTTGGGACCCTGTGCCCAGTGGGCAAGGCCAAGCTAAAAGCATCAGGCCTTCAGCCAAGCAGAAGGGAGGGAGAGTCTAGGAGAAGGGGGAGGGAATGGGAGCTAAGAAAGGAGAGAGAGGAGGACGAGAAAGGGAGGGAACGCAGAAGCCACCTCATAGGAGAGGAGTAGGGAAAGCAGGAGAGAAAAGAAGGTGAGGAAGGAATGGAAGGGATCTCATGGGAAAAGGATGAGAGGGAAGCTGGGAGCTAAAGCAGGGACCCAGAGCCACAAGGAACCCACCAGAGACGGAGGCAGATCGGAGCCGGTGGAGAGGAGAGGGTCGGAATCTGCCACTCTGCCTCAGGCCCTGCAGTCTGGCATTGTACACTGTCCACCCACACCCCAGGGGAGCCGGCAGGAAGGGGAGGCACCAGGCACAGAAAGCATCCCACCAATGCCGCAGGAGACAGGT